CCCCAAAGAGACCCATTGCAGACTCCATTCTGCACCTAAGTCAGGGATAAACAAAACTGAGCCGAGAAGCTGGCTGGATCTGTGGGGCCGCTGGGGCGTAAGTGAAGCCACCATGGCCCCAGGAATCCTCTGTGCCCGGGTTCCTAGAGCCGGCTCTACCTGGCACTGCATTTGGTTTCACATGCCCAGGACTGCCCAGTGTGTTCTACCTTAGGGGGAACCCTGACTTCCCACAAGCCCCCACCAAACCTTCAAACTCAGCCTCCGTGGGACTGAGACAGGGAGAGGAGGTGTGACCGAAAGGTGGAATCCGAGCTTTCTATGGTGGTTTCTCCTTGTGTTCTTGTGAACACATTTCCTGTAATGACTCTGAAATTCATCAGTTAACTTTATGTTCTGAAAATGCACAGTGGCAGAGGTGGAGACAGATGGAGGGGCTAGGCCCAGGGGGTTCTGGCAAGACTGGGGGCGGGAGTTCCCACAGCAGAGGCCCATGGGAAGGACTAAAAGGAGCCACTCGGCTGTCTTCATGCTGCTTCTGTGGCAGATACTTTTGCTCCTGCCACTGGGTCTCAGGGACCTAGTTTGTGCAACACAGAAGGGACACGCATCCAACGTGCGGGGGAGAGAACAGGAAACAATGAGAAGTGCCTGAAGCCTCTCCTCTGATGGGGGGAGGGCTGGCGGGGAACTGAGACCTGCCCTGAGCAGAGGCCCCTGGGCAGAAGTGGACAATGCCAGGTAAGGCTCTGTGACTCTTGCTCCAGAATTCTCCAGACTCCTTGGACACCCGCCTCTCACCACGCTGCAGGCTCCTCTGACCAGCTGGGCTTTCCACCCCCCTTTCTCCTCCTGGGCAGGCCTGGACAGGCTTTGGGCCTCCAGGTCATCTGGTCAGCCAGGGAGGGGCCCGTGCAGGCTATGACCAGGCATTTACTCCTTCCCAGCCTGCCCACGTCACTACACCCATGTGGGTTCCTCGTGCCCATGATCAAAGTCTTCGGCTTCTCAGGGCTCTTGGGGTGCCCACTGGACCAAGAACCACCTGCTCCTGCCCCAGACATCTGCTGCCTTTGCCCTCACCAGCTTTGTTGGCCTTCCTTTGGGTCCTGACTCTGGCCAAGTGCTCTGCACATAGAATCTGCTCAGAACATCCTCCCACCCCCTCCACAGGTGAGGAGACTGAGGCCAATGGCTCTGCCTTCCATAGCTCACTTGGCCTTGAGCTTCTTTATCCACTCATTCAGACTTCCCATGGCTTCAGGGAAACTAGGATTCGCAGGAGTGGATTCTCAAGAAAAATGAAGAGGGAAGCTTTCCTGTTGGGACACTGCTTCTGGGTCCTCTGGGAGAATATTCCCTAGGGGTCCCCATGTGGAGTTTCCCCTGGGTACTTTGAGGAAGAGGGGAAGGAGAGAACAGGGTGGGTGGGGCCTGAATCCTAGGCTTGCAGGGCTGAAGGGACTTTTCCAGCTCACCTTGACGCTGGGGTCAGGGCCTGAGTAAGGTAGGTGTGGGCCCAAGCTGCTCCGGCTCTGTCCTGGCTGCTCTGGCTCAGCCCAGGTGGAGAGCAACCTGGTCCCTAGAGAGCAACCCTTAGCGTACCCAGGCTGCCCCCTAGTGGCAGCATGAGGAAGCGCTTGAGGACTTTGAAACCCTTCCAGAAGAGGGGGCCCTACCAGCTGATGGGCATCTGTCACCAGTTGGTTTCTCTCTTCCTGTGCCTCTACTCCCCCAATTTCCCAAATGTGCAGTCACTCATTCTCATGCTCCGGGGCCTTTGCTTCTGCTATTCCCGAAGCCTAGGATGCCCTCCTCCTCACCTGTTCCAGTGCCCCTGGTCAGAGTAAGCAAAGCCTTCCTCTGCTGCACAGGGATCATGTCTTATTCTAGTCCAGTGGATGGAGCGGTCTATGCATGGTGTGAGTGTCTGCAGCACAGGCCAGTGTCTGGACCCAGCACAGGGGCCATGCACAGGGGATAGTCAAAAACTGCTTCTTCCTTCATTCAGCAGCTATTTATGGGCAATGAACAAGCCAAAGAGGCTACTTCCTTCATGGGGCTTACACTCTGATAAGGGCGTGGCTAGGGGGGTAGAGCACAGGCAATAGAAAAACCACTGCTAACATACCAGGTGCGGATGAGTTCTATGGAGAGAAAAATACAGCAGGGTGGGAACCGAACTGGGGTGTGGAGGTGCCGATTTATAGTCCTACATACAGACTATGTGCAGCTATTGGAATAAAGGAGAGTGATCTTGGCCGATGGTCAGGGAAGGATATAAAGTTAAGTTAAAGTGATGGAAGAATGTGGCTGGAATGCTTTCTGTTGGGTTGTATTTATGGTTCCTATGGAATTAGTTGCTGTGTTTAATTTTGAAAGTGCGTGGATTAAAGTTTCTATTCTATTGCTAAACTGTTGTTGCTCTTCCAGCACGTGGGTAGTGTATCTGTCTCCACCCCTTAGCCCATGGGCACCAAGACCTCCAACCCACTGTCCAGGAGGGGCTGAGCTGCCCCCTCCTGCAGGAGCAGTTTTCTTACTGCTCTGCATTCTCAGGTTCCATTCTGGGTTGTGAGCTCAAAGGAAGATGAGAGCTGGAAAAGCTGTGAAAGCTGAGGAGATATTTGCACACTCACATTCACAGCAGCACTATTTCACAATGGCCAAAAAAGTGGAAGTGACCCAAGTCCACTGACAGGCGAATGGATGAACAGAGTATGGTCCATCCATACAATGGACTATTATTCAGCCTCAAAAAGAAATGAAATTCTGACACTTGCTACAACATGGATGAGATTTGAGGACATTATGCTCAGTGAAACAAGCCAGACATAAAAAGACACACTCACTATATTCGGTCCACTTACATGAGTTCTAGAATAGTCAAATTCACAGAGACAGAAAATAGATCAGAAGGGACCAGGGGCCAAGGAGGAGGGGAAGGGGTTGTTGTTGTTTAGTAGGTATGGAGTTTCAGGTTTCCAAGGAGGTGATGAGAAGCGCTCTGGAGATTGCTTGCGCAACAATGTAAACTACTGACTGAATTGTACACAAAAACGGTTGAGATTGTAAATTTTATGTTACGTGTATTTGATCACAATTTTTCAAAACATTGTGAGCTGGTCTGTGTTGCTTCCCAGACCAACTACTGAGACTACTTTTTCACTATAAAAACAGGCGTTTGTTGTTGTTTTTTTTTCCACTATAAAAACCTGTGACTCAGTGGGTTGGGCATCATCCCGCAAAGTGAAAGGCCTGATTCCCAGGCAGGGCCCATTCCTGGGTGGTGGGTTCAGTCCCTCGCCTGGTTGCGTACAGGAGGCAACCGATCAATGTTTCTCTCTCACACTGATGTTTCTCTCCCCCTCTTTTGTTATCCCTCCCTTCCCCTCTCTCTAAAATAAAGAAATAAAATTTAAAGAGAAAAAAGTGGGTGGTTGTGAGCCTGGGAGGGGATGATCCTCAGTGGACGAGGCAAAGTGTTTCCTTCCCGAGTCCGCACATTCTGTTCACCAGTGGCCAGGGTGTGCGTGCACAGCACAGTCTCATCGGTCCCTGTGTTCTCTGAGGTTAAGGCAGCAGTAAGTATGAAAGGTTGAGGCGGCCCCTGGGCCTGCCCTTTCCCTGTTCCCTCCTTCAGCCCAGGAACCGCGTGGCGGAATCCTCTGCACCCAGTTCACCAACTCCCCGAAGAGCCTGCCCGCGCCTCCGATGCTCCTGCCCAGGACATGCTTCCAGGAATGTCCTCCTGCAGTCGGGAAGGCAGTGCCCTTCCTCAGACAGCGTCGTTAGACTTAGAGAAACAAAGGAACATCACACAGAAGCAGCCCTGGCTGGTGTGGCTCAGTGGATTGAGTGTCAGCCTGCGAACCAAATGGTCGCTGGTTCAAATCCTGGCCAGGGCACATGCCTGGGTTGTGGGCCAGGTCCCCAGTTGGGGTTGTGCGAGAGGCAACCAATTCATGTTTCTCTTGCACATCATTGATGTTTCTCTCCCTCTCTTTCTCCCTCCCTTCCCCTCTCTAAAAGTAAATAAATAAAATCTTTAGAAAAAATGTTCAAAATTTGTTTAAAAAAAAAGAGAGAGAGACAAAGAGACGCAGAGACAGATGAAGATGACCCCTCATGCCCACTCTCCTGGAGGGGGAGCCCCAGAAGACCATGGGAAGGAGCAGCTCTGGACCTGTGGGGCCTGTGGGGCCTCCTTGGGCCTCATCAGCTCTTCTGTAAAGTGGAGGAAATGTGGACACGCCCTCCCAGGGAGCTTCCTTGGGAAGCAACTGGGAGACACTCCCACCCTCCACAAGGGGACACAAAGCCCCTGGGCAGGGGTGCTTGTGGGAAAGGCTGGCTGTGCTGAGCTTTGGGGGTCCTGCTTCTAAGTACTGGCCCCTGACTGGCCCCTTGGCAGCCCTGCCAGTGGACTCTGAGTGGTGCCCCCTTAAAGATCAAGGAGGTGCCCCCCCACCTCTCTAGCTGGGAAAACATGTTTGCAGCCCCTGCACCCCCCTGAACAGAACAGAGGGAGGAGAAACAGCCTCTGTTTCCCTTGGTTGTGCTTTCACTGGTAAAATATGCTTTTCTTTTTTCTATCAACATTTTAATGAAGGGTTGAACATCAGATAGAAAAATAACATTCTGGTCACTTTTTTTTTTTTAAGAGGCAGGCTTTTCTTGAGACTTTCATACATAGCAATGGACGAATAATGTTAACCTCCTAAAGGAAAGCATAATGAGCACACAGAGGCACTTCGCCAAGTACCTGCCGTAGTTAATGACAACTCCGAACCAGCCTCTAGGGGATGTTTGTCCTGTTTTCTTTAGGAAACAGCTGAGTTCAGACGTCAGCTCTGCTGCTCTCAGAGGCTAGGGGACGCTGAAGGACTGCCATCAGTGCTCGTGGGGGCCAGGAGGGGTGGTGGTGGAAGGGTCTGTGTGCTTGCTTCTCTGGCGGAGAGTGGGTGGCCAGAGGTCACTACCCCATTGGGTAGCCTTGCTCACTCTCCATGGAGGGACACAGGATCCAGCAGGTGGCCTGGGACAAAGCCTCTGTGGCCTCCTGACTCCCCATAATAGAATCCCTTGTCATCCATTGGCCCGTAGACTGTGACCAGGTCCCCAGCCTTCAGTGACAGCTTGTCCTTTATCCTTCCCCCCACCTGCCCATCTTTGGGGTCATAGTCCATAGCTGCCATCATGGTCATTGAGGTCCATAGTGAGGGTCTCCTGGGGTTCCCTTGGGGCAGGAGAAAGGAGTCCTGGGGGCTGGTGAGTCCTCCAAAGTCATCAAGGTGGGCCACAGAGGACAGATGTCTTTGCACTGGCAAATGCCACCTCCCATCAGTCCTCTCCATGACCACTTCCACATCAACCACCAGGTGCCCAGGGATGCTGCCCACTCGACCATTGCATTCCCCACAGTAGAAGCCGTGGGCGTCCTGAGAGCCCCACACTCTCAGCAACTGCCCTTCCCGGAAGGCCAGCTCCTCCTCTGCAGCCTCAGGGTTGGCAGACATCACCAGGGGGTCATAGTCAAAGAGTGCCACAAAGATCCTCACTGGAGTGTCCTCACTCTCCCCCGGCAGTGGGGGGCCTCCACTGGACATCTTAATGACTTTGCTGGATGGAGCTAGACCGAGCGCAGAGCTGGGCTCCTGGAGCTGATTCTCTCTCTTGCCCCCCAGAGCCTGACCTTGTCTACTCTGGGTCTTAAGCTCCCTCCTCTGTCCTTGTCTCCCTGTAGCCCATGGACCAAAGCACACTGCCTCTTCCTGCTGCAAAATGTCATGGGAGTCAGACCCATATCGATCGAACACTTGGGCATCTTGCTTTTGCCCAAGGACCTTCTCAAGGGCAGGCTTATCCTGGCATGCTTCTTTCCTGGGCCCACGCTCAGGAGACAGATGGACAACTCCCAGGGCAGGGCTTTGGCTGTTGACCATGGGCTGGTAGTGGTCTTCTTCCCTCTCAGACTGGCCACTGGGCAGGGGCAGCTTGTGGTTCTGGGGACTCTTCTGAATGATCATGTCTTTTCTGCAGACCTCCCAGGCCTCTGCAGGCCCTTGGGTTTGGTTGCCAGCCCCTGCACTCTGACATTCTCCTTCTGAACTCAGGTTGGGCACTGGGGAGCACCTCCTTGGGGGTCCTTCAGGAAATGCTTCTAGGAACTCTGCCAGGGGCTCCCCACAGCTCCTGGAGATGTGGGAACTGGCCTTGGCACTCAGTGGAGCTAGCGCTAGCCTCTGAGGGCAGATGGGGAAGGTGACTCTAAAGGGGGACAGGTCACCACAGGTGTAGCTAAAGGGAGAGGTCTCTGGCAATCTGTTACAGTTAAAACAGTCCTCAGGGATCTGAGCCGGCACTGAATCCAGTGACTCGCCACAAAGCGAAATGGTTCTCACTGAAACCTTCTGGCACATCAGGGGCAGCTGGAGCTGGGACCATTCCAACATGGTGCTCCCAGCGGTGGCATCAGCGATCTCTGCAACCTTGAGCCCGTCAGCATACACAGCATAGCCAGTAACCTGCACCCCATTGGAGGACCCAGCTGAGTGGATAGTCACTGGGAGCCAGCTGACCACCAGGAAGCCTGGTGAGGTGTGATGCTCTACCAGCACATCCAGTGGAGGGTCAGGGGGTCCTGCCAAGGGCGTGTCGAAGGTGATAGTAGAAGACATGGTTTCCCAGTGCACCTGAAGTGAGTCCCATGGCAGTTGCACTTCCACCTGCACCTGGTACCGTGTGCCGGGACGCAGACTGTGGAAGATGTAGCCACTCACACCCGCTGGGGTCAGGGCATGCTTATGGTCATTGAGGTATACCACGTGTGAGTGGCTGCTGCCGCTGTCAACCCAGGTGATCTCGGCTGATGTGGCTGCAATGTTCTGAAGGTGTAGTTGCTTGGGGGCTATACAAAGGACCCCTCTGGCCCCTAGAAGGGGTTTGGAGAAGTCTTGCTTCTCCATACTCTGCAGTGAGCCCAGCCAGCCATCTTCTGTCTTGGCATCTGAGATCTCTATAGCCACTTCTGTCTCGGAGCCTGACCTCACCATCTGGCATGTCTCTGTGTCCACAGTTTGCTGAGCTTTCTCAGGCAATAAGCTGTGACCAGTGTCTTCCTTTGAAGCTTTGCCCTGTCCAGCTGGGAGTTGAGTGGGGCCAAGGTCAGGGGATTCTGGGGTCAGGCAGCCAAGGATATCGCTGTCTAGAATCCGCTCCACCAGGTTGGAGGGTACCAGGCCCCGCCGGCCATCCTCAAGCTCCCCTTCATAGAAGCCATCCTCATCCATATCCCCAAAGATATACACATAATCCCCAGCCGTGAGGGGCAGTTCATTCTCAGGGTTCTCATTGGGTCCCTCAAATGGGTTGTAGCTATATCGAACCAGGAAGATCTTGAGCTTGGGGGTGTCAGCGGTCTCTAAGTCCTCCACTTCGAGGGTCAAGGACACACTGTCAGAATCCAGATCCTCCACCTCACTGGCTGTGTCCACATCCAGAGAAAGGCAAGATGGTACAGTGGCCCACATGGATTCCACCTCAGAGGAGGAGTTTGACTGGGAGCTGGTTTTCTTGGACTGGGGTATGGAGTCCAGAGGCTGGCTGGCTGGGGCTCTGTCTGGCACTTGGGGGACACTGGATGGATCTCCGAGGGCAACTGGGCTCTCTTGCAGAGAGGCTTCCTTCTCCTCCTGTTTGTCTCTGCTGGGCTGTGGAGACACTTGGTCTTCAGGCCCTGGCTGGAACTTGGTTCTTATGCTATTCCTGTCTTGGGAATCTGGGGCTGGGGGGGCCTCCCGGGGCTCCTGGGGATGGTGACAAGACTGACACTGCAGCACTCCCATCTCCTCCTGGGCAGCCTGGGGATCACACGAGGCCTTCCGCAGGTCATGCTGCAGCTGCTGCTGCCTGTCCTGCCTGTGCGCCGCTTGCTGCAGCAGCTGTTCCGCCTGCAAGCCGGCGGTGTCGCGCTCCTGGCACGCGCGGCCCAGCTGCCCGCGCACGTCGTCATTCTTTGCTGCCACTTTTCTCAGCCAGTCGGCTTGGGCCTGCAGCCGCGCGTTCTCCTTGGCCAGCCAGGCGCCTTCACGTAGCGCGATCTGCAGCTGTGCCTCTGCCTCCTCCCCGTGCCGCCGTGCCGCCGCCGCCTCTGCTCTCAGCTCCTCGCACTCGCGCCGCCGCGCGCCGAGCTCCTGCTCCAGAGTCTGCACCTGGCACCGCGCCTCTTCGCAGGGTACGCTCTGGCAGCCCGACTCCTTCCGAGCGCAGCCGGTGGCCTGCTGCTGCGTCAGCTGCTTCTGCAGGCGCAACACCTCCCGCTGGGACTCGCGCTGTAGCCGGTCCAAGTCGCTGACTTTGAGCCACTGGTCGCTAGCCGCGCCCCCACTAGGATGCTGGGTGCTGCCGAGGCCTGAGGCGACCTGCGTCTGCAGCAAGTGACACTCCTGTTGCAGCTCTTCGATCTGCTTGTCCTTGGCCAACAGCGCGCTCGCCTGCTCCGACTTGTCTCGGGCGCGCTGGAGGGCAAAGGCCTGGCACAGCTCCAGGCCAGCGCGGCTCTCCCCAGGCACAGGCGCGCTCACAGCCCGCAGGTTGGTTTCTTGCAGCTTGCGGGCCCGGTCCTCTAGACGCCGAGCCAGGCCTGTTAGCTCCGCGTGCTTCACCTTGAGTCGTTTCACCTTCTCCTCCGCCTTGTCTGGAAAGCCTGCGCGCCGCAATTGCATGTTCTCTTCCTGCAGGCCAGAGCAGCGGCGCGCCAGCACCTGCAACGTCTCAGACAGTTCTGAGTTCTGCTTCACAAGCTCGTGGTAGTCCAGGCACAGCGGTGACAGAGTCATGGCCTCGCAAGGCTGGTTCCCGGAGTCTTCTCCTTGCCGGTCGCTAGGTCGTCTGGGCCCCGATGGTGGTGGTGGTGGTGGTGGCAGCAGGTGTGCTGGGGGACTCGGGGAGCCCAGGATGAAAGTGTCTGGTGAGAAGGAGTCCTGCTCCTCGGTTTCGAGGACCTTGGGACGACTCCTGGTGCTGTCGAGCAAGCGGGGACTCGCTGGTGCCAAGGAATCGAGGGAGCTTGCGCGCGTGCGGAGCAGGTTGTCAGGGGAGTGGGTGCACGCTGCGGGTACCAGGTCGAGAGAACGAGAGCGCACGGGAACGCGGGTGCTCAGGCTGTCAAGGGATTCGAGTCGACAGGCGAACTTTGGGGGATGGCGAGAGTCACCGGACGTGTCGGGGTGCGACTCTTTCGAAGAATGCACAGCTTGTGTATCGGGGGTACTGGACAAAACCGGGTGCCAGCGGAAGTGCTTCAGGATGTACTTGAGAAAGAGCTGCCGCTCCAGGTCTAGCGCCGCCTGCAGGTAGTGGATGCGCGAGGCCTGCTCGCCGTCGGTCTCCCACCGAAGTTGCGCCAGCACTTCTTGCAGGCGACAGCGACACTGCGCGGCGGCGACTTCTGGCACCCCTGCGCGGCCGCAGTAGCCGCGGTTCACTAGCTCTGCGGCGAGCTGGCGCTGCAGCTCCCGCGCCTGGCGAACAACGCAGTCGCGATCGCGGTGCAGCAGCTGCTGCAGCTGCCGCATCTCGGCTTCCTTCCAACGCAGCAGCTGCCGGATCTCGGCCTCGCGCTCCCTCAGCATCTCCTCCTGCAGCTGCCGCAGCTCACGACAGCTCTGTGCTTCCCACTTGGAGCGCAGATGGTCAACCAGTTGCTGCCGCTCCCTCTCTGCTGCCTCCCGCAGCTGGCGCGCCTGGGCCGCGGAGCGCCGCCGCTCCGTCCTCCCGCGCGCTCGCTCAGCCTCCAGCTCGACCCGCAGCTTCTCCAGCTCCCGCCTCTGCTCCTCCAGCACCGCCGTCGTTGGGGTTGGGCCCAGCTTCTTGGGTGTCGCGCGGCCGCCACCCGAAGAGTTGGGCGAGTCCTTGGTCATGGTGGCTGCTGCCCGACCAGGGACGTCGCCTGGCCCAGGCCTCTGCTCGTCAACGGCTGCCGCCCCAGCCGGCCAACCGTCCCGCGCGCCCCTTCCGGCGCCCCAAGGGGTCTCCGCGTGCCCCTTCCGCCTCTGGGTGTGTTCCCTCACCCCCTGTTACAGGTGCCTAGACCGGGGATGGGCTTTCAACACCCCTGCTCAAACCAGCCTGTGTTCTTCCCAGGATTTCCCAGGGGTCTCTCTGGCTCCAGGCCTCTCCCTGGTATGCCATGTCCTTTGTGACTGACCCGGGCGCTCTCCCAGGCTCCTTTCAGGCCAAAGAGTTGGTGGAAAGTCAGGCTGCTCCTCTGGGCCTGGAGAAAGGGGCTCCGTGTATGGGTTAAAATCATGGATGGGGAGCAAGCAGACCCTGCCTGACCCTACCATGGGTTTAGGTATCTGAAAACTGCAACAGAGTATGTCCAAATTGGGGGTGGGCGCGTGCCCTCCCCATGGGGTAGGGTGTGTCAGGTGCCTGCATTCCAAATGTGCCTACCCTTCCAAGGCCCCCTGTAGTGCTAAGCACTTGCATACATTACATATTTAAAGCTCCTGTGCCTACAGATGGGAACTTTTGAGCTCATAGTCTGGGCATGGTGCTAGCTGAGCCCAAAGTCCTGACCTGCAAAATTCTGTTCCCAGAGTCCACGAGCACTCTGACTTTATCCTCCCATCTCAGGGTTGCAGGTGTGAAGACCCTCTTCCAGCCTTGCTCCCGGGGGGGGGGCACATTCTGCATTTACAGAAGGAGGGAGGGTCAAGTAGAACCCAGTTCTAGAGGAAGGGTGGGAAGCAAGACAATGAGGCTGCCATAGGGGTCCAGCCTGCCCTTTGGTCTAGTCCAGGAGTGCCCAGGGCTACCTGCTTCTACAAAAGGTAAAGCCAGAAGCCGCTGTGGGTCCCCATACCACCTTCTTGGAAACAGCAAGGCCAGAGAACTTTTCACAGCTCTCCAAGGCTAGTGTGATCACCTGGTTAGGGCTGGAAGACCTCAGGGGTCAAACAGTTCTTCAGCTTCTTGTGCCACTTCCATGTCCTCATCTGTAAAGATGGCCAACGATGCAATCCCCTTCTGGGCTGTGTGACCTCCCAGAGTTCCCTGACCTCTCTGAGCACCTATTTCCTCTGAGTGTGATGTTTCAATGAGCTGAGAGCACGAAGTGCCCAGTCCAGAGCAAAGCTCTTGTCTGCAACTCACTAGTTTTAATCCAAGTCTCTTTTTGGCACCTAGAGGGCTGAGGACTGCAAGGCAGGGATTTGGCTGAGGCTGGGCAGGGCTGCCATGGTGGAAGCTGCACACGTATTCTCTGTGCTCCCTGGACTCACTCTGGATGCCACGTGGCAGGTGGGAACCCTCAGAGACCTCGGTTTCCCTCTAGGCTCTGCCACTTTTTGGCTGAGTAAGTGTGGCTGGTTACTTCACCTCTTCCAGCTTCTACACAATGGGTGTGTTGGTAGCACCAGGACTCTCTCAGCTGAGGGTGTGCAGTAGGAGCGGCCCCGAAGTTCAGGTAAGTTCTCACCTTCCCACCCACGGCTCAGCCTGGACCCTCACAAGTTTTTTTCCAGGAGTCTGAAGAGTACCCCTGGCTCAAAGACCTCTGGGCCTTTACATGTGTTCTTCGCTCTGCCTAGGATGCCAACCTTGCCTGATACAAAAATAACAACAGTACCCATGGCAGATCAAGAACCTACTAGGTGTCATGCTAAGTGCTTGCCATACATTATTTAAACCACCCAATTTATAGATGAAGAGTCTCAAGCCCCAATGGATTAAGAGTTCTGTTCACAATAATCCAGCTGCTTAGTGGCCCCCATACAACCCCTGGTTTTGTCCATTCACCTACTACTAACCTTGTCCTGTCCTTTGGCCTCAGCTTATCCATTCTCCCTCCAGGAAGCCTTCTCTGACTTTCTGAGCTTGGCCTGGGCTCCCTGGGACTCTATAGCCCTCATTGCCCCACCTGGCATCTCTGCTTTTGGAGCAGGGACAGGTCTGATACACGTCTGTGTCCCTGACCAGGCTGGGCTTGGAGGAAGAGTAAGAGGAAAGTCCCTCCCCAGAAAGAATGGGTGGCGGCCCATGGAGGCAGAAAGGGCATGAAGGGCGTTGTCTGACCCGGCCATCTGACCTCACCAGCTCCCATAACCAGGTACAATCTGGCAGAAAGGCTGAGGCCTCAGACTCCATGCTAATCATCAGGACCTTGAACAGAGAACTCAGACTGGACTGAGAGTGAGGGCGTGGCCTCAGCCGATGTATTGGCCAGGTCCTAAGTTACAGAACATACACACATACGCACACCCCTTCTCTTGGCCTGGCCACCTATGTGTTTAGGTGCCCTACCTAAATCTGGCTCCTCCCTGTCCTTCCTGCCTCAGCCCCCAATGGCTCCCGAGAATTGGATGGACGTGGTACCTGGCCATTTGCATTTAGACTGTAATGTTGTGGTCACATTAAAGACCCCTTTGCTTCTCAGTCTGGGGTGTAGACCTGGCCTGGACAGCACCCAGGGCCTCTCACAGACTCAGGCCTTACTGCTCTGAGGACTGGCCCGAGCCACCCACACAACCCTTCTGAGTGAATCTTCCCTCCCCCAACAGCTTCTCTTCTGTGACTGATCCTCCCGACTTGCTCCTGGTGCAGGACAAACAGACAGGCCCGCTCACTTCCACAGTCATCTCCCCAGGTAGGTGGGCAGGTGGTCTTGGCCCCATGTCCCAGGTAGGAAGGAAAACAAAGGTTCTGAGAAGCAGGTGCTGTGTTCATTCAGCACGTGGCCCTGTGGGCTCTGCCCTTTTTTGCTGTATTCGTATTTCCAAGCCTGGTTCCCTTGAACCACTGGTGTGCCTCAGGAGATGCCTCTGGGCAGTGGTGAGCAACAAGAACACAGGGCATTAGGGCTCCAGGTGTTCTCTTTGGGAGGCGAGGCGAATGTGCTGGGGGTGGTAGGCAAGATGCAAGGGTGGCCTTAGCTTTGAACTGGTGCTGGGCCACTGGATGTGGTGGCTACAGAAAGGGTTTCTTCATGGAATCCTCATTGCAGTGCTGACAGAGGAGAACCTGGGCTCAGTGGGGGCAAGTGGCTTGCCAATGCACATGGGCAGCCATGGCAGAGCTGTATTGTCATTTCAGGGTGGTGGTTGGGGCACCACAACCCGATGTCCTACTGCAGCCAAGAGCAGAACCTCCAACAGGTCAAGAGGGCAGGTTAGCACCAAGGAAGAAGACTTTGGGGAGAGTCTCTGACAGCCCCACAGTCACCATCCAGCAGCTGCTTGTGCTGGCACCACCCATGACGTGGCAGAGGTGTTCTGAACATGGCTGAGTGGATGAGCAAACCAGGGCTTCCCCAGGGCAGGGCTTCTGCCATCCCCATGCTCATCACGTTACGACCTGCCTGTGACCCCAGGCCTCGGAGCTGGGGAGAACGGAGACTGGCACTGGGTCACCATGTTGCTGTGTTCTCTGTATCTGGGCTTTTTTTTTTAAGGTTTTATCTATTTATTCTTAGAGACAGGGGAAGGGAGAGGCAGAGAGAGAGAGAGAAAGAGAGAAATGTCGAGCTACAACCCAGGTGGGAATCAAACTGGTGACTTTTTGCTTTGTGGGATGACGCCCAACAAATGGGCTCCATCGGTCAAGGCAAGGCGTTGGCTTTCTTTCCTATACCACGAAAGAGATGGATTACATGGGTGATTTTCTTTCTTTCTGTCTTTTTTATTATTGTTCAAGTTTAGTTGTCTCCGTTTCCCCCCACCACTCCCCTCCGCCCCACCCATCCCCACCTCCCACCCTTGATCCTACCTCCCTTTGGCTTTGTCCATGTCCTTTACACATGTTCCTTGATGACCCTTCCCCTTTTTCCCACATTACCCCTTCCCCTTCCCCTTCCCCTCCCCTCTGTTTACTGTCAGTTTGTTCTTTATTTCAATGTCCCTGGTTATATTTTGGCTGCTTGTTTTGTTGATTAGGTTCCACTTATAGGTGAGATCATATGGCATTTGTCTTTTACTGCCTGGCCTGTTGTGAAGGGTCCGAGCTCCTTCTTTCTTTCTGCTGGGTAGAATTCCATTGTGTAAATGTACCGTAGTTTTTTGATCCACTCATTTACTGATGGGCACTTAGGTTGTTCCCAACACTTGGCTATTGCAAACTGTGCTGCTATGAACATTGGTACATGGGCAGTTTTCAAACTGGATTCCTTAAGGCTCCAGGTTCCTGGGAAATACTATAGACTCTCAGGGTCGGAGAGGGTATGCCAGGAGTTGAAGGGGAGACACTGTCGCTACTGCTTCAATAGTGTCCTTTATCAGGTTCTAAGGAAGACTTTGGTTTAATACTGTCTTTTAAAAAGGATTTTATTTATTTATTTTTAGAGAAAGGGAAAGGGAGGGAGAAAAACGCTAATGTGCAAGAGAAACATCGACTGGTGCCTTTTGCGCTCCCCCAGGCAGAGACCTGGCCCACAGCCCAGGCATGTGTTCTTACTGGGAATCGAACCAGCAACCTCTCCGTTTGTGGGACGATGCCCAACCCACTGAGCTGCACCAGTCAGGGAGACTTTGGTTTAATAGTGTCCTAAAGAGATTTGCTGCTAGAAACAATTTTGAAAACCTCTGGGTTAGAGATACTCCTATATATTATTCGCACACACACATGCTACCTTAACCGTCTATGATTCCGCTGACCCTGAGAGAAGGCATGTGCCCCCTTCAGGTCTTGGCTCACCCACATCACCAGCCCTGTATTCCACGCTGCCTCTCCCCAGAGCTCCAGCTCGTGACCTTTGGGCTCTGTGGTCATGGGGTCTGGAATCCTGGTTAAGCTGGTTCACAGCCTCCTGTGCCAGTCTGGCTGGGCCCTATTTCAGCTCTGCCACCCAATCATCGAGCTTTGTGGAGCTTGCCTGGCCTTAATAAAGGCTGTGGGCTCCACTGTGAGGACCTACGGAAAAGATTTTAAGTTTCCTGACTTCTGCAGCTGTAGCAGTCCCAGCTCTCCATCCCATTCCCCTTCTTCTGGGGTCCATGTGTTTTCTGCCTGTTCTTTGACAGTGCCTCAGCATCCGGAACAGGGCCTGGCTCGTGGTAGCTGCTGAATAAACACACGGCTGAGGCAGACAGAGGCAGACCGGCTGGATGTGACCTCTGGCCTCAGGGAGTTTACAGTCTAAGGGAGGACACAGAGGTCAAACACAAATATAGCAAAGGAATGTGGTGAACTCAGAGCTTGGGCAAGTGCTGTGAATGAGGGGTGTGTGCTGTGGGGGAGCAAAAGCCAACAGAGCAGGTTCCCCAAGAGAACTGAGATAAGAGGGCGTGTGAGGTTTGCCCTGAGCAGAGATCAGATTTCAGGCAGAGGGACTTGCGAAGCCCTGTGTTCTGGCTGCCTGCCCTGGCCCTCTCCCATGCCACCCCGCCCCGGGCAGGTCCACACCCCTCCGGCATGGATTCTTCACAATTCTGTCCTGTTTCTCCTTTGCCTGAGGAGAATCTGGAGCTCAGAGAAGAAGTGTCACTTAGCTGGATCCCAACCAGGCCTTCTTTCTCCAGGTCATGGGGAAGCCTGGCCCCCCCCAGCACTGTCCCTTCCTGGATAGGGCTGGATACCTGGGGAAGGGCCGTGCTGCTCTCTGCCTCCACTTCCTGGGCCCTGCAGCCTGCTCTGGATGGTCCACATCCTCTGGGCAGGGAGGGGCACTTTACGCCAGCTTCCAGCGCTCTGGCTGGGGCCCCTGGCCTGCTGGACTGGCCTCTCACCCTGGCAGCCCTAGCCTAGCTCCTCAGGCATGTGGCTCTGTGGGTGGCCAGCCTGCCCCCACCTGTACTTTACATGCCTTGTCCCTGAATCCTCACCACAGCCAGGGAGGCTGGCACTGTCCTCTGCAGATAAAGAAACTGCTCAGGGTCACACAAGGACTTGTGCCCAGGCCTGTGTGACCCTAGCCTGGGCTCTGAATTGGTGCCATAGAACCTGGCCCACTGGCTCTGGCAGCTGGAGTGTAATTGTCATCCCTAGGCCCACAGACAAATGGCTGCCTCTTCCCAAGGACCCTGTCGCTGTTGGCAGCACCACAGTATTCCAGCTACCCAGTGTTGTCAGGACAGACCTATCTTCCATCATCTACCATCTCTGCTTCTGTCCTCTCTGGGCCTATTCTAGTTACCCTCCTTTCTCTGCAGCCTGAAGCACGAGCCCTTGCTTAGCTCCCCACTAATACCTGTGGCAATATCATTTGTCCAGTCATTTGACCATTGCTCTGGGGCAGGGGACAGTCCTTTATCAAATGTTTGTTGAATGACCAACCTAATCAGGGTGGAGTGGGGCCCGACACCACATTGATACACAGATAACCTCCAGTGGTGGCTGCTGAAGGGAGGAAGGAATGAGGAAGCAAGAAAAATAGGATGGAACAGAAGGAGGGAGAGCAGGAGGGGAGGAGGGAGGGAGGGAGCTCTTTGGGTCATCTGTGCCTCCCAGATCTTGGTCTACCCCTCACGGTCCAGCTGCAGACTTGGGCTTAAGCCTCTGACTGGCTGGGTAACTGAGAAAAAGTTGATTGATCCCTTGAGCCCTAGTCTCTTCCTCTGTAAATGGGACTGGTAGCAGTTCTGACCTCAGAGACAGCTGGAGTATTTGATGCTTGTGCATTTACACTCAGTGCAGCACACAGCAGGCTGTCAATTTCCCCAGATAAGTGTGGTAAGTTGAGTCCTTAAGAATGACTAGCACTTGCCAAATGGATAAGGGGGTGGCAGGGGGAGGGAATGACAAAGGCACCACAGGCAAGGGAGCAGCATGGCCAGAGGCAGGGGGTGTGGTATGGCTGCAGAACTGGTTGTGGGAAGGGAGGGATGCAGGACGTGAAGCGTTGGGCAAGCAGAGGGAAGTCAAGGCAGAGCCTCACCAGCATAGACCAGATTGAAGATCTGCCTCCTGGAGCCCCACTTCCAAGCTGGGCGATGCCAGGCAAGCCATTTTATCAGGGCCTCAGTTGCCTCATCTGTGAAATAGGGTATCTTAGCATTGGTCTGTGGCATCAATGCACTCAGGGGTGTGTGCAAATGTCCAGGGCCCAGTGCCAGACACACAGTCAGGCTTATCAAGTGTGAGTGCCCATTGCCAGTTTCCTGCCTTAGCAGAGGCACTTTCTTTTCCCCACAATGTCTCTTGGCCTCTCCCTGGCTGTAGAATTCCTTCCACCCCTGACCCCTCCACTGGCCTCTGTCAGGCCCCTCCTCTGAGCTCCACAAGTCACCAAATCCTCCTGCCTTCTGTTGCTTTTCTCAGTGCCTCCACAGAATGCTGCCAGCCCCTTGAGAGCAAGTACCAGCTTTGTATCCTCCTCTCTGAACCCAGCAGATGAGAGCCCAGGACCTGTACTGATTGGAGACAGGAGTAGCATGTGATGAGTTTGAGCAGAAGGGCCTGGAATCCAGGAGGTGGAAGAAGACACTTTTGATGGGTGGCTCTGTAGGTGGCATAAAAAGGTCAGGTCTTAATGACCAAGGTTAGCTCAGTGGAGGGTGGGGTGTAGCTGGTCTGATCAGAAGCCAGCACAGGAATGGGGCCCTAAAGACCAGGCAGCTTACAAGGGTACTCTGCTGCTCAGGGCCTCGGTTCCCCACCTGCAAAGTGGGTACAAAGGAGCCATCTTGCATGGCATTGGTGAGGGATGCAGGAAGATGCCACAGCAAAAAGTAGCTCTCCCCACTTGGCCTCTCCTGATCATAGCCTCTATTCCCAGTTTAGCATGTTGAGGTCAAGAGTATGCACTGTGCTTCCTCAGCTGGCTTGAAATTCTTCAGGGCAGGATCCCATTCATTCTGTGGTCTTCCAGAGGGGAAACCAGTTCCCAGTAAAGCTGTGTTCTTTCTTTGACCTGGGCTGGCTAAGCACCAGGCCCAGTGTACACAATAGGACCATGGAGTCAGTCCCCAAGCCAGACTTCCAAGTCCCCTGTGGCTCCAGGGAAGTAGCTGACAGAGTGCCTCCTACATTTGTCAAATGTTTATTGAGCACCCACGGCATGCTAGCCCTGGGGGAGGTGGAAGGCAGACAGGGTGCATGAGGCTTGTCACCTAGTCTCTCCCCAGCTCTCTCCCAATGTCAAGCCTGGATTCTCAGACACGGTATAGGAGGCCAGTCCTAACCAAGGCCATATATTTTCAGTGTCCCTTTCTTCTCTCCTTTCCTGGGAAATGGATTGCTTTTAGAGTGGAGAGAAGCTCCTTCACAAGGCCAAACTGTGTGCTGAAGCTGTAGCTTTCTCTTCGTCTGCACTGACACCTGAGGTCCAAACCACCATCATCTCTTTGCCCGGATGGGTGCAATAGCCTTCCAAAAGGCCCCTCATCCCCTTCTTATCTTCTTAGCTACTTCTGTTCTCCATTATCCAATTGGAGTCCTCCCCTTAAATACCTGTACCTGACTGGTTACTACCCACATCCATTAAAGGGCTCTCACAACATTCAGGAGAAAAGTCAAATCCTTCCCTTTCCTACAAGGCCCTCCACAGTGTGTCACCCACCTCCTTCACTCCCTCTAATCCTTTTTACTCCATTCTGGTCACCCAACGCTCAGACAGCCTCATGCCTGTCACCCAACGCTTTGCCAGTGCCATTTCCCCTCCTCGAAACATTCTCCATCCAGCCTCCCAGCTGCTCCTTCCTTCCATTCAACGTCCCAGGCGTGGGGCGTGACCTTGGGCAAACCACCAGGCTTCTCCATGCTTCTGTTTCGCATGAAATGGAGCTGTTAATGGTAACCAGTGTTAGCTATTATAGCTATTCCCTCAGTGAGGCTTTTCTGACTTTTCAATGAAAAGTAGGTCCCCACAGTCACTTTCTCATCACCCAGTTTTCCTTTTTTTAATCATCCAGTTTCCTTTTTTCTTCACAGCGCTTAGCAGTCCTGATATAATCCTTTAGTGATTTTGTGCAATCAGTATTTATTGTGCACCTACTATATGCCAGGCACTGTTTGTAATAACCATCGGATTGGACACCCCCACAAAGACAGGGTCTCTACCAGTTCTGTTCACCCAGGCCTCTGATGCTGTTGCGGGCACACAGTAGGCGATTTGCACATCCGGTGCCCCGCCTCGGCCGCCCCTCCCCCGCTCCAGGAAGTGCGGGGGCTCCAGCACCCCGGTCGGCCGTGATGCACACTGGGAAGGCACCAGTACCAGATCCAAGATGGCGGCCAGCAGGAGGCTGATGAAGGTAAAAGCCATTCTCCGGCGCCGGCCGGGCCGGGGGCGGCGTCGTCGTCCCAGGGCCCCCGTGGCGGGCCGGGACTCTTTGGGCCGCCGCCGCCTGGCCTCCCGCCCTACGTGGGCCCGCCGCCCCCCTGGGCCGTGCGCGGTGAAGGAACTAACGGGGCCGCCTAGGCCTCAGCCTGGGCGGGAGCGCCAGGCCGCGCTGGGAGCCGTCGCCTCAGCCCGGCCCGGAGTGTCCACGCTCCCCTCCGCCCGCAGCCCAGCTGGCTACCCTTCTTTCGCGGCGGCCGCCTCCCAGCCCCGGAGCGGTGTTGATGTGGGGGCTCGGCCGGGAGGCCCCAAACCGGTGCCTGCGGGTAAGGCCCGAGCACTGGAGCCCCGACCGGGAGCCCGCGCCGCGGAGCCGCCCCGCCCTGGGCCACAGCGCGCCGGCTCGGAGCCCCGCTCCTCAGGGCCGCAGCTCCGGCGGCCCGGAGGCTCAGTTTGGGGAATAAAGGAAGATGCGGGGCGACGAAAGTTAGGGCAGTTTTTGGTGGGCCGCTTGAAATTGCGTTGGGTTCTAGCAAACTGTCGCCTTGTGACTGCAGAGTCACACAGTGGCAAGTTCCAACTCCGGGAAGGTCGGCCCCGACCGCGGCGCCGTTCTTCTTCCCCGTCTCCTTTCCTACCCACCACTTAGTCATTCGGATCTCTTTTTCCCCGATGAGGCAAAGTGCCATTTTTGGGGTGGGGGTGGGGGTTGGCTTCAGTCGTTCGAATCAAAACCAAGCAAAGTTTATAAAAATAACTTGGTACTTTGTATCTTGAATGCAGCGGGGTGCATTCTTGCTAATTGGCTCCTTTGGGGAAGAACACAGATGCTAAACTGGCTTAATTCTTTCGCAAATGTGTTTGCCGGCGTCCTCCAGAGCAGTTCTCGCCAGCGTTTGTGAGTCGGATGCCGGCTACTGCTGTGAAGCTGCACCGGGCCGGAAATAAAAAAGGCCCGGAGCTGGTTTCCTGAGGGGACAGAGAGATCTGGGGTTCCTCCTGGACCGAGCAGTGCTTGGTAGAGCTGGACATTGAATTTGGAGTCACAGCCTCTGGGCCCTCCCTCACTGAGAATGTTTCCTTTCTTTTGTTCATTAAGGGCTGGAGACGACGTTTAACTTAATAAAACTCGGTTGGAAGTGGGCGCGCCACCATTCACCCAGTTATCTAGACGAGAGGACTGTTACTTATTTCCCTACTCAGCTCCCCAGATGCGGTCACCTGGTTAAGTCTGGAGAATTTTACTGTAGAAAGATTTCTCTGGAGTGCCTGCTTTCCTTCCTAATCTTACTGAAATTATTTGAATTCATGCCCTTATCTCTCAGATGTCCTCCGAGGGCTTTGCTCTGATTACCCTTCAGGGATAGCAGAATTGTTGTTGTTGTTGTTGGTTTTTTGTTTTTGTTTTTTTCCCCCCGAAAGCAAATGTTTAATCCTTTCACTCTTTTGAAAAACCTCTGTGGCTTTATTGTCCTCAGCAGTTAATCCTAACTTCTTACTTGGCATTGCAGTATCATTCTCAGGTTGACCGGAAGTCACTGTTTAGTCTCCCCTCCTGCCCCTTGGCTTCCATCTACCCTTTCACCTTCGCAGTAGCTACTTTATTTTTTAAGCTTTTACTCTGTGCAGCTGGCTCTGTAGTTCACATTCGTGATCATGTTTAATCCTTAGTGAAATAGATAGTATTATTCCCATTTTGTAGGTGAGAAAATGGAATGCAGAGAGATTCGTGGGCTGTACAAATTTTTCTCTTAGGAAGAGACAGTGAGCTGTGATCTCAGTTATGACAACAAAGGCCGCTGCTCTTACTTGTTATGTGGTCTCCCTTTGCACCCGCTGTTTACTCTACCTGAGAAAGGCTGCCTTCCTCCCGCCTCTCCCCTTCCAGGGAAGTCCCAGGTTCCACTACAGTCCCAGCTCCCCTGTGAGGTATGCATGATCCCCCTTCAGAATATGTTCCCTTTTTTGTGTGACTACAGCACTTTCTCTTTAGAGAATTTTTACGAGTTTACTTGAGCCAAAACTGACACTGTCAGGAAGCAAGATCTAAAATGCTCCTACCCTACAGTGCTTTCCTTATGTTTCTGTTTACCATGATGCGATTTGTGTTCAACTTGTCTTTCCTCCTGGCTTCTGACTTCCTCAGGGGCAGGGATCTTGACCTAATTCATCCTGGTATCCCCTAGTCTAGCCCAATTGATCCAGTTTGGGGATCTTGGGTTCCTAGTAGTCTGAGAGGGGAGTTACTGTGGGTTTTATTTTTTGAGAGAGAGAGAGAGAGAGAGAGGGAGGGAGGGAGATGGAGATTAAACAAATTGGAGCTTAGAAAAAATATGTAACATTAACTGAGTACCTTTTAGGTACTAGATCATTTATGTAATTTCTTTCTTTTCAGTAACAAAGTTAGTGTATTGTCATCTTTATTCTACAAATGAGAAAATTGTGAGGCTTAGATATAGGTTGAGTGTTGTTTAAGGTAGAGTAGTAGACCTGAGTGGGGAGAGATGAGATGCTAAATCTCCCTCGCTCCGAACCCCAAGTTCCACGTTCCTTCTCACACTTTCTCATTTCAAGGATACATGGAGGGGTATGTTGTTTCTGGAGTTGTGGATGGAAATTCTTTCAATTCAATAGAGAGAAGGATGGTTTCATGGCATTGATCATTGTCTCAGAGAGTTAGTATTTAAGCCCGGTCAGTTTAAAAAAAAAAAAAAGATCGATGCAGGTTGGGGGAGGAAACAAAAGGGACTTTCAATGGTGAAAAAGTAAACATGTTGAATAATCAAATGGACATCTTAAAGAGCTTCAGGTTTCCTCAGAAACTCTTCCGGGACACTCAGAATCAGAGGTTTCTTTGTAACAGTGACTGTCTGCAGGTAGTGTTAAAGATGGAGTGATTTGCATGTATGGAGCTGAGAAGTTAGTTTAGGCAAAGTGAGTGGTGATAAAGTCGTAATTAAAAAAAATTTTTGCCCAAAGCAGCGATTTTTTCAACTAGTGTGCCACAAGAATTTTAAAAACACGCAATATTTGACTATTTAGTCAGGGGCTCTGACCTCTTTTCCTTTGGATTGTCAAATTAAAAATGACGACCGCAACACAAAATAGCCATCTGGTGCGAAATGAATCAGAATTATACCTCTTTTTTGTGTCAGATTGGCAAAAAAAAATACATTTTTTGCTGTGGTGCAGAATTTTAGTAATTAGTTTATATGTGCAGTGAGACGAAAAAGGTTAGAAAAAGGTTAAAAATCGCTGGCCAAAACGATTAGCCTTTTTTCAGAACCCTTTTTAGAAATTACAATGTTAATAAAACATAAAATATGTTTTAATTTGCAGGAAGCTAATTCAGCATTAATGGCTAACTAGATTGTAACCATTGCTTCAATCAGGAGGGAAATAGCTACAAAAGTGAAACCTGAAGGTGTGGCTAAGGAAATTGATTGCAGTCTCATAATTTCTTTTCAGCCTCAATTGCATACAGTTCCCCTAAGGGCCCTCCAGCTGAGTGCCTTCCCAGAAGGGCTTTCTCAGTGGGAAAATTTGTGAATTTAAGAGAGGAGCAACATTTTATTAGTTGTTGTGTAACTGTTGAGAAGAGTATTTGAGATTTGTTAGTAATGTTTTAGTCTTGGATAAATGATTTTTACTCAGGACTCCACATTGGTATGCTTTCAATCCATGATCACTTGTGAATGAGTAGGAAGAGTCACTAAATTGCAGTTCATTCCTTGAAATTAGTTGTATTCCGCAATAAACTGGTTTGCTTTTGAGTACAGGTTTATAATCTGTGATATTGGGTAGCTAACAATAGAGCAATGAGTGTGTCTGGTGCTGTGTGTGTCAGGAGGTGAAGGGAGTTTACAGATGGTGTTATGTCAGTGTAAGTGTCCTGAATCCACTCTGGGTTTTTGGGAATTGGGAAAAGCATTGCACTTTAAAAAAAATGTATATTTTATTTCTTTTTAGAAGAGAAGGGGGGAGAGAAACATCAATGTGTGGTTGCCCCTCATATGCCCCCCCACTAGGGATCCAGCCCGCAACCTAGGCATGTGCCCCAACTGGGAATCAAACCGGCGACCCCTTGGTTCACGGGCCGTCGCTGAGTCCACTGAGCCACACCAGCCAGGGCAGCATTGCACTTTTTATCTGGAATTCATGTGTCCCAGTAAACTAGGATAATTCTGCCTCCTTTAATGATACACTTTGTAAATGTTTCTCTATTAGAAGATAATATGGACAGGCCCTGGGAAAGAATATACTCAGTCATTGCAACACTTGGACCTTTTTTTAAGGTTTATTCTAGAACAAAACAATTTGTCTCCTGGTTCTTGGATCTTTTCTGATCTTGCTACAACTCTAAAGAGGCTGTTGATTTCACATTTTATTGTATGGCACACTTAAAATATTCTCATTGCATTGAGAAGTATCACTGAATGTTTGAGATATTTGTTGTGTCTGTGTGTTTTTCTTTTTTTTTTTTTTTTAAGATTTTACTTATTTGTTTTTAGGGGGAAGGGAAGGAAGGGAGAAAGGGAGAGAGAGAAATGTCATGTACCATTTGCAAGAGAACCATCAATCAGTTGCCTCTCACAAGCCCCCAACCTGGGACCTGGCCAGCAGCCCAGGCAGGGGCCCTGATGGGGAATCAAACCTGACAGCCTTTCCCAACCTTTCCATTTGTGGGACAGCACCCAACTTACTGAGCCACACCAGTCAGGGCAAGAGATACTTGTTTTCTTTGCTGCAACAAGGAAGGTAGGAATTTGAGTTTAGAGAACCATGAAGCCATCCATCCTGAGCTCATACTTGTTATCCAACCATCTTATTTGTTTTCCTTTAAATGGTACATAGACCTGTAAGCGGTAACATTGAAACTCATCCTGTGCCCTGCACTTCTTTCTTGCTTAGGTATTGATCTACTGGTCAATTCATTCACCCAAGGAAGAACCTGGGGGAGCCTGCACACCCCTT